AAGAGCTCTTTGTCTTCTGGTCACATCAGGTCTTTTCAGTTACAGATGTGTCCACAGATGTGTCCACAGAGTGGGTGTTTGACACATCTCCAGTCAGAAAGAACCTTTAGTGCTTTTACAAGATGTTCCCTGTCAGACGGTGTATGTGTGTCACATGGCAATAGATTATATGTTGAGGCTATTACATGCAGACACACTGAGCTAAATCCATTTCCCTTTTCGATGCATCTAATAACCTAAGGTCAATTAATGGTTGGGAGGTGTGCTCACACACTCTTACACACCCACACCAGATTAATTTCATCTTCTTTTTAAATCGAGTGTTTTGTTTATGGTTTAAGATGAGGTGGTGTCCTGTCAATTTTTACTTTTTTTTATGTTAGAAAAAGCAGACACATATATCCAACAGGTGCAAATGAAAACAATTCTAATGGTTGTATTACAATGAGGTGTGACTGACTCACTAATGCACATAAATGAAGGGAACCATCAATAATATCATTTGTTACACCTTTTCTGTCGTGACATGTCGAAGAGACAATTTTATTCAATCACTGACTTATTGAATTTTACAAAAAGGATTTGTCGGGGTTTGGTGGTCTATTGTGGAGTGAACAAGCACATCACTTGTAAAGTGCACAATAACCTGAGCTAATCACCTACATTAAGACAGACGTTGGTCTTTGACATTTACTGTAGGAGTAAGTGTTAGGTCAAGTAAGGTCAAAAATAGCCTCTTAGCTTAAACTCTAAAACAGGCAATAACTTATTTTGTGAGTTTTCTAAAATATAGAAAATGTTAGGGTGCCATCGGTATCAACTAGTGTATTTGAGAGTAGGTCTTCAGCACCAACATCATATTGCTGTGTTAGCACCTATGGTTGGCACTAACAGAACCGTAGCAGAATGGGGGCGACCATCACAAACATTTTGGTCAGAGGAAGAGCTGACAACGACATTATTTTAATGGGCCCTCATAAAAAAAGGAACATTTTTATTTTTCAGTCGAGTAAATTATTCCCCAGATATTGTTGGGACGAGAAGGCAATTATAGCCTCATGTTGTGACATCAACATTTTGTGTTTAATGGTCATGTTTGATTAGGGACAACTATATCTTAACTTCTAACTTCCTGGTTTACTTCTGAGCTATACATCCTGCTGCACATTTGCATTTACTGCACTCACACAATCCTTGTGCTCTAACTTGGGAGAGTTTACACGCCCAAGATGATTATCCTCACATCATTTAAATAGCCTGAATTAGGTTACGTTTGTTGTATTTGGAGCATATTTTAGTAGTCTATATTGTATTATTAAAATATCTCTTATCTAGATCTGACAGTAATAGAGGCTTCGCAGCCATCTTGCAGTTAGATGGTGGTTAGTTGACACTCCAGTGGTTCTTTTCAACAAGCAGGAGAAATTGTAGATGTCAGGAATTCCTTATGACTCATAAAAACTTGGAGGCTAATGTGTGTTTTTCCACCTTGGTTGCTTAAATTATCTAATTAGCTTGGTGGAAGTGTCTCTTCACCCAGAGCCTGCATGGCTGTCACACATACTGAAGCTCTGAGAGGAATTGTATAAATGAACAATCTTCTGGCTTCCAAAAGTCACAATTTAAAATAATTGTATGTATTTAATAATTATATAGGATGCTCATGTACGGTTAATGTTTGGGGGAAATGGTTTGTGTGCATGAGTGTGAGAACTGTCCACAACTGACTGAACACAATCCACACACTTCAATTCCTAGAAGTCATAGAGCCCGAGGAAAAGACAGGGCCTGTCTGCTCTGACACTTTCCCTGTCATGTAATCATAAATAAGATTTAGAGTAAGAAAATATATATCTTTGCCTCAGAATCATAATGAGTGCAGCATTTGGCAGGAGTCGGGTCTCCTTGTGATGTGGTAAAAAGAGGGTAAAGAGGAGCACACTGGAAGCAGCGAGGACACATGAAGAAGCATCTGTGAATCCTCCCAGCACAAAAGGATGGGCAGGGTCCCTGCCGTGTTTGGAACATTGTCTGTGTGGATTAACTCCACACGTTCACAGTCAATTCAGTGCAGCCGCTACAGATGTACACGGCAGCAATGTGCTGTATATGGCCTGTGACCCGGCCCTCCTTATCCTCCCTTTATCTCTCCCCATCCTGCCCTTGAATGAGAATGGTGGTCAAGGAAGTTTATCCATAAAGCTAATAAAGTGTGTGTTCACTGATACTGAGGAGAAGAGGACTTGGTTTAAAAAGGACTCGGAAGCTATGAGATACATCAGCCATGAACTGAGGAGAAGGAACAGACAGTCAATAAAGCTGAAGGTGAATATTACAAACAACAACACCTGTTTTTCTTGGATATTTTTTTGACATAGTTTGCGTTTCTCTAAGTTAAATGTTGATGTCAATCCCAAACATCAGAGTCAGGACAAAAACTTCATGTTTGTTATACTGTACTTGATGCTTTCAGCTACTACAGGAAAGTGGAACAGTAGGATTTGTCTTTACTTGCTGCTGTATGGAGATTTCTGATAGGAAAAGGAACTTGACCTTTGTCTCTGACAGACTTGGACACGTGCGACTTGTGTGATAAAAGAGACTAGTTTCACTGTAAAGAGTGTACAGAGAGCAGAAGTCTGGATATCCCCTGTCTACACTGGAAGCCTCAAAATATTGCCCATTGGCCCCAGAGCTGATGGGCTCTGAGATTGACCAAAAATCCGTTTTCAAATATCAAATTTTCCTTTGAGATACTATATCCATTCAGATTTAAGTTTCATTATTCCCTATAGACAGCCTTACTGAAGACTTTACCAGCCTTCTTTTACACAGTCAGTGTAGAAGTGTCAGAACATATTACAAAGATAATCAGATCCTCAGTTAATCAGAGGTAAATTTCACAGCAGGCCTTAATCTGGTGCTTTGAACATTTTGCCCTGAGGAAAGAAAGCACAGCCTCCAGATTTCTCTGAATCTGTTAAAACGGTCTTCGTTTCAGATTGAGCGTGACCTGCAGTTCTACGTCAGCCTCTTTCTGACCATGTGCAAGAAGCTTTTGTCACGAACATATACAGCAATTGATATTTCTACCTGCACTTTGAAGATAAGTTATCATCAGTAGTTTTTGAAAAAGGTGTTGTGCTGTAGCTCAAATAATCAATTTTGAAATAAGCCTGCGTAAGGAGCTTCTTTCCAAGATTGATTGAGAAGTAAGCCCCGAGCTAAACAAAAACACAATGTTAATTATTCAATGTAAATGAATAAATACATAAAAGGTCACACACAACCTTAAAGATTGCTATTAACTTCCTAAATGTTTATTGACAGCTTTGAGCATACCTCTTTATAATGAGTATGTCATATAGATGCCTGAAGGCAAAAGAGAATATCATTATTATTAGGATTAACAGAACTAACACAGAAAGAGCTACACTATAAATACCACCAACACCACCACCACCACCACCACTAATACTACTAGCTACTACTAATACCATTACTACTACTGCTACTCCACCCTTCTAATGTTTGTATTTTATATAAACTAAAAAAATTAATTGGTCTTGAAATAAATTTGAAAAAAAGATCTGATCAGAATGTGAGCACATTCAGTCAGATCCTAGTCCAATACTCCAACAGTTTGCACGGTTCAGGCTCATAAAGTACATATATAAAAAACTGCAGCAAAATGATGGGCCAGATGTGACCAGATGCTTTATATGTGGTCAGTAAAAACCTGCTTTGTTTTTTCTCTGTTCAGGGCATCCTTCCTCAGCGTGGGTCAGTATCTGAATGTCAAGACCAAAACCTGACAAATAAAAAAACCTAATTTAGATAAATACATTAGGACCCAGAGAGCCCTATATGAAAACTAGCACACTTATTGTTTATATTATTTACATTATTCATCACATGTTTTAGATTAAATTTAGCGACCTTCCCCATGAGTAATTTCCATATGTAGTCTATGATAATTTGGGAATTGTTAAAAACAAAGCACATCAAAAATATTGACCTGATGAATGGTGCTTGGGAGAATCTGACACCAATTAACCCACATGCTCAAACCTAAATTACCTTTGATTCCTCGGTCTTGAGCAACAGTGTAAACAGAAACAGTAGCTTTACGGAGAAGACCCCCCCCTCCATTCATGAAGCCCACCAGAGCCCAGCAGTAAATCAGGCCTTAATGATTCAATCAGGACTAATGATTTATGACCTTTCTCTCTTTAGTTAACACCAACACAGTGACAACACAAACTGCATGTGGGGAGCGTCCTCACCTCACGCGCTCTGCCTGATGAGTTCGATCATGTATTCAACCTGCGTCTTGTAAGATGTAAGGAGTCTTAAATTGCTGCTTTAGATGCATTGTTTCTACAAAGGGCAGAATTCCTCATTTGAGATGTGGTCCTGAACCGCTCTGTGTGATTTGTCCATCAGCCTGTCGCAGAGGCTGGCAGTTTATTAAGCTTTTATATTTTTGATCAGCGTCGTTACAACACTCAGCCGTTTAAAGCTCAAAGGTCAGATGGTCCCAGTGACAATTAGTGACAATAACTGCTGCAATCATCCTACAGCCGCAGTGGATGATGGAATGATGATAAATAACTGTTCTTGACAGGCCTGACAAATGCTGACAAACATGTCATGCTTTTTCCTCCCTTGTGTCCAGATGTTTTTTTTATTTTATCAATAAACTAATATGGTATTTTACATTTTGAGTTGTATTTTTTCGTTCTTTTTATCGGGCTCTGTAAATTTAGGCTGCCACATCCTTAACTTAAGAATCAGTTAGTTAGGAGGTAAAAAATACTGTGTCCCACTTTCTGAAAAGTGTGACGGCAATCAGATATTTGATTTCTTTCTCTCCTGAGGGTGGATATGGTACCAAAGGTAACAAAATGTCAGTTGTTATTTAAATAATATGCGTGCAAGATTCTGTATCAAAGGTCAAAGGTCACACAATTCCCACCATCTCCCCTGCTTCCTCTTACCTGTTGTTGGCGTGAGCCTATGGGTGCCTGTATTGCAGGTTGTAGGCTTCGTCAGCGTAAGTTTCCCTCCCTCGGTCTGAGCGCAGGTTTTTGTTTCTCCGTTGAGGCTGGAGTCAGCCGCTCTTATAGGGTCCCACCCCTCCCCTTCAACCTCCTCCTCTGATTCTCTCTCCCTCTCTCTCTCTTTCAAAACTCCTTTTTTTCATTTCAGGGAGGATCAAGGAGGGAGGGAGGGAGGAAGTCACAACAGGGAGGAGAGAGAAGATGGGGGAGAGCAGGGATAGTCGTGGGAAGGAAGGTGTGAGAAAAAGAGGGAATGATGGGGTATAGAGCAAGATGGGAAGAAAAGTATAGTAAGAGGAGGGAGGAGGAAAGGAGGGAGGCAAGAGAGGGAATGATGGGGTAAAAAAGGAGACAGGGGMAAGAAAGAGACAGGGAGGGGGGAGGATGGAAAAAGAGGAAGGGACAATATAGAGAAGGAGATGTGAAAAAAAAATAGAAGTAGGTGAAGTAGAGAGGAGGGCAGGTCACCCATCTACCTTAGGAGACATTTCTCTAGTTGATAAAAACAGTATAAACACTCGAGGGCAGTACTTATCAAATACAAAAAACAGTGTTTCATTGGATTTTTGATTTGTATTCAATTCTTTCCACTTTAGACATAGGCTTTATGACAAATTAATAAAATAAATAAATAAACATCTTGAGATATGGGGATTGGGTTACAGGTCACTGCCTGTGGTATCGTCATTTTAATTCATAACCAGCTGACGCACAGCTGTGACAACAGAAAATCCAGTCCTGTCGTGTGTTACACACATAAAAAAATGAAACTAAACCCTCAGAATGTGGGATTGAATGTGTTCAGCAATTATCTGTCTAATGGCCTTCAAGTCCATTGCCCAGCTTTGTAAAGTTGTGGTCACTTGTTCCACCGAGACCAAGTCCAGGTTTTCCTTAAGCCATTTCTCCAGAGCAGTCGGGTTAACTATAATCAATATCATTATATTCCTTTTCTGTGTTTTTATTTTGTGCTGTTTATTATTATGATTATTCCTACTAATTTTCTACAATCAGTTATTCCTCCCCATGTTAATACTGTCCTGTTACCTCCTAAACACATAAAAGATGCCATATTTAACTGGTGGATGTTTTGAGGAGAGGTTGTACGACATGTAGCTGTCACTCCTCCACCACACTGTGGGAGGGACAGTCAGATGTCCTCCAACATCTCGTCTTCACAGTGGCAGGACTTTATTACTGTCATTCTACTCACAAACAAAAATTTGAGCTGGAAACAAACAAATCACGACAAGCGTGTGCTCTAGAGATTCAAATTATGAGTGTGTGCAGCGTTCATTATCAGGGGGATGCTCTGATCAGGGTTACTGCACTTTAATCATTTGTATATACTGTATATGGATATGAAACTACCATCTGAGAAAGAAGCAGGGACTCAATACATGTGTAGCTGTAATATAATAAATCAATTAATAATGTATGATGCTTAAATGTATCTTCATGAAAGAGTTATTTATAGATTTGAGTCTTCAGTGGCCAAAGGTTTATTTCAAGCTTTTTTCCTTTGTTGCATTTTCTCCATTCTCTCTCTCCCCCCCTTTCACACTTCGGTCTGTCCCATCAATAAAAGCAGAAATTACAAAAAAAATATCTTTAAAAATGTGCCCCTAAAAAAGTCATAAAAAAATAATGGAATTCTCTTTATTACACAAAAGTGAAGTAGGAGCAATTTTCACTATTTCTTCAGCAACTACATGTTTAGAAAAGAGTAGAAGTTTAAACAACCACACACATGCTATACAAACAAATTAATTTAATTTAAAACGCAATTAATGAACCTTTCTCATGCTAAGAATATATTTTTTTTAAATACCAATGATTTAAATGGACATTTTGATTTGGGCCTCCAGAAAAACATCTCCAAGTCTCAGGAAACTCAGCTGAGATGATGAACACTATTATCCTCCAAAAGATATTTCCTGATTTTGTGTTCTGATGATGATGGTGAAGGACGCATTACTCCATATTCTCTCATAAGTGTCCACCTTGGTTGAGATCTCCAGAGTGTGAATGCCATTGCCTGGGATTTCAATTTAATTATACTGCACATTAAACCATTCAGTGACCCACTGTGCCCTGTGTAGAAGCATCCACTACATTTTCCATTCATTTATTTTAAAAATATCAGAGTTTTTTTTCCATTAATTTACAACTTTTTCTCTAAATCTTGTTAAGTGCAGTCACAAATGTTGCCTTTCTAAGACTAAGCAACGGAGCGATTGTTGAGACAGAGTGGTTGTTGCAGCAGTAAAGAGCCCTCTGGAGGTCAATAGGCCATTACTGAGTTTGTCTCATCCAGTCAGTGGTTCATTAGCAGATAAACATCGTAGGACAGACGGCAGCTAGCTCAGGAAATCCAAAAGACGTCTCAGGTTCACTGCCCACTCGTTCAATATTTCTGTCCCGCACAGTGTCCACACAGCATATCATATCATATCATATCACGATACACCTAAAAACACTCAGGTGAAATGTTATAGGCATTGAAACTTGAAATGTTCTCAACATCCTGCCTGACAATCTCTATGGTTTAGTACAAAGATGTGACATCACGGTGAAAACTATGCTTTTTAATACCTTGTGTGCAGAGGTGGGAGGTAATGAAGTACAAATACTTTGTTACTGTGCTTGAGTAGATTTTTCAGTTATCTGTTCTCTACTGGAGCATGTACTTTTCTGACAACTTTTTACCTTTACTCCCTACACTTGAATATGAATATATGTACTTCTTACATTTTACAGTCTCATTACTTTCTTTTTTATGCATTTTATTGTTTTATTTTTTGCTTCATGAGCTCCGACATCCCCACATCAAGACAGATATCAACCTAATGGATGGGAAAATAAAACTGACAAGATGCATTTCACACACACAACAAACATAACACGGCGTAAAAGACGATAGAAACAAGAGGGAGACTCAGAGAAGAGGTGTGTCCATGACACGGAGCAACAGCATGGATGAAATCTAAGAATCAGACAAAATTGCTGATAACATCAATGATAAGGCACGGCAAAAAAACCTTCCCCATCCCCTGGCCTTATTCAAATGAAGAATACTTCATTCAATACATTGTTTTACATTTCCTGCAGGACACCTCTTTTCTTGCTTCAGCAATGTTTTTAGCTCATTGCTCTTTTATACTTACATAACTAGTAAATTGTTACGGAGCCCTGAAGTCTCAAAAGATGATATTCTTTTATCTAGTGGGAACAAGTTACTATCTTGTGTGCAAAAGATATTTATTTTAAGAGAATATTAGTGTTTTATTCACTCAGATGCACACAGTCACCAGATTTGTATCATAGCATGGAGAAAACCAGTTTCAGTTTCGCTAACAGAATGTCACAGTGAAATTCTTGTTGCTGCTGCACAGAGATAAAGGATTGTCAGGAATCATTAGTTGTTCATACTTAAGAACCACAGGCTCAGGCGATAGAAAGCCTATGTTTCAATCATAATACTTGAGAAACTAGCAAACTCTTAAAAGCTATAAATGCAACTTAGTGTTGTCTCCAAAGCATCGGTCAGTCATGTCTTTATTACAGAGATATTAACTCCATGTGCACAACTTATGTGCACAAGATGAAAAAATATCATCTTGTGGGACTTCAGGGGCTCAGTACATTTCAGAGCCAGTACTTGTATACTTTTACTTGACTAAGAGGTAAAGAATGTGTGTTCTTTTGTCCCCTGTGGCTGAATGTACCTGCACAATGAAATTATTGATCAAATGTCCCCAGCAGGTCTTGAAAAGATGAAGAACTGTGTTGTGACAAACACTGACGGACAGTGGTGGTAGCTTGGCTGTCAGAAATGGGTTAGAGAGAATTTAATAATTCAACTCAGCCCAAATTAGCTCAGATCACAGGACTCACGCACTAATTAAATCAACACAGAGAAAACAATAAGAGCAGAGACGAGTCATCTGATGCATATCTCCTTCAGTTCTTAGTTCCTCTCTCCTCCATCTTCCGAGACCAAACTAAATGGAAGAAGTGAATCACGGCAGCATCACACACTCCCACAATAATGATGGTCTACAATGCTACAAAGAAATGAGCTTGTACTGAGGAGGCTACCGCATCTAGTTAAACTGCTACCTAAGCCAGACAACACCACAGAGAATTTCAACAGTCACGATAGACATGTAAAGAAACAGTTTTTTCTTAATTCATAGTGAGTGACTGGATCTAAGACTGAGAAACAATGAGACACATCAGTGCATCTGATCTCAGCGTCTGATCCATGAAACAGATTCTCCTCCACCAAATGAATCAATGTCATTAATTAAATACTCGTTAGGACTTTTCCTGTGGGAAATGGCTGATAGCTAAACAGTAAATTAGACAGAACCACAACAGATGCTAAATTTAGTCTGATTCAAAACAACCACAAGACAAAAGCAATATCCTTTAAAGCACAACTGTGACTGTGCAGGGTGTGTTGCATATATTGTCCCCCTTATTTACTTAAACTTGTCATACTGACTGGTACCAATTTATCAAACTGTCCACTTGAGTCCTAGATATAGGATATATCTAAATGTCAGAATGGTAAAATAACATATATCAATAGCAGCCTAACTTTTTTACTTTGTTTAATCATCATATGAGAAAATGTCTGGTTTTTTTTCCTTTTTATTTCCCTTTATCATTTGTTTCATTGTCGTGAAATCATCATGCTCCATCTAAAGCCGACCTGGGGAAATGCCAAGTTCAGACTACACAGCATGCTGTCTTTTGATCAGGAGTATTGCAGTCATTTTGAGTTCATACTACGTACATGACTAGTGACAGGTGATCACAGACCACACAATCTTTCACCAGGAGGGACGCAGGACAGAGTGTTAATCTGCTCTGATTGATGAAGTTGTTGCTGATGTGTCTAGATATTTAGCTCTCCAGTGGGCAACATTGAAGAGTTCACACACAGAGCCTGGCGACCTTGAAAGATAACTTTGCGCTGATCTGTGGCTTTGGTCAGGGAGTTC